TAAAGCACAGCTAATGAAAAGAAGACCCTTGATACATATTGTTCACTCACATATAATCTAAGTAGCATAATTTTCATTTCAGAAACAGCACTATCCTATGTAGTAGCAAAGAAAGCAGTTTTCCTATATATAGCACCTCTGTCTTATTAGGATTAAGTTCTACCTTTCTATAAATCTTTCAGTAAAATAACGTATCTGCTTCCATCCCAAACCTGAGACTCAACCAAATTGTCCTACATAATACAAACAGAAATTCTCCTTTGGTAGTCTTCCCCTAAGTAACTACAATATCCTTTCTTTACCTGACCACTGCTACTGAAAGCTATTTCAGTATATTATTATTATTATAATAATAATAATAATAATAATAATAATAATAATAATAATAATAATAATACAGTTGGAAGGGACCTTGGAGGTCATCTAGTCCAACCCCCTGCTTTATTTCCTAAAGGAAACAAGTTTTTAAACTATTTATCAGGAATACATATCCCAGAAGCCAAAAGCAGCATTTGATATTGTTTAAAATCAGATGCCAACATTTGGCAGCAAAAAAAAAAAAAAATAGTAACTGGAAGTGCAATTTTGACAGTTTTTTTAAAAAACAAGTAAAATAGATGTTTTATACCTTCACCTTTAATCCTCTCCAAACCCTTGAGAAAGCTAATACAGTTCAACATGAAATTCCATTTGGTGGCATCACTATGTCATTTCCATACTATTGGAGTCATCAGTAACTGAATCTAACATGAATACATGAATGTGGCCCATGGCCAAAAAATATTATCTATTCCTTTTATAACCTACATATCCTGTACACCAATTAAGGTTCATCGTGGCACTTGCATTTTGATGCTCTTAATGGACCAGAAGACAGAGTAATTATTATAGGTTAGTTTAATAGCTATTCTTATCTCTGAAAAATAGGCTTGTTAGTCTGTATGAGAAGACCAAATTTTATTCAATCAATAGCTCTCTTGTGTCCTTGTGTTACTTTTGATGCTTTTTTTCAAATAGAAGTAATTAACAATTACTGAGACTATTTAAATTAAAATTATCCTTGAACTAATTGAAATCAAGATTAAAAATAGGTAACTTGGCTTTCATTGTTTCAGTGAAGCCTTCAGAATTATAATAGTATCATTTTTTTAAAAAGAAAAAGAACATTGTAAATCTTGACAAGCCTCTCTTAATTTTATTACAAGTAGGTATTTTAAAACATAGGAATTTTCAAATTTGCATTTCATACATCTACCTTATGAAATAATAAAAATTCAAACTATTTTTGAACTACTGACAACAAATGTAAGTTGTGCTCTGGATGTTTCTTTTTTTAGAAACAATGTGTTCTGCATGATGTAGGCAGAACCTTCCTTAACTTCTGTCCAAAAGTGAGGAAAGGAGGATGAGTTACACACAATATTGCACAATGTCTCTGTAAATTATCAAATTATTTTGCAAGTGGTTATTCTATATTTAGTACACAGATGAGAACAATTTATTAAAAATAAGTTGCATTTCTGCTAATACGATTATATTTATATTTTTGAAAAATTATATTATACAATTACATTGTACAATTATATTATACAGTTATTTTCCCACAAGTGTTACTTTCTGTGTGATATACATACATATAAACGGGTTGCCTTTCTACTGGGCTGCTTGCAAATAAAAGCAGGAATTTTTGCCTTAACATTGAATTCTTTCATTAGTGGTCATTCTTGGCTGAAGCAGAGACTACTTCACAGTGGAAATCCCTCCCTTAACAGCTGTGAATTCATGATTCTAATAAATTGTTTTGTAATAAGCCATAATTCAGAACCAACAGGGTTCACTATTTCATCCTCAATTTTCCAACCATTCATTTGCCCACGGACAATAGTTAAATAAAAATGATGTTAAAAAGTGCGGAAGGAAGGTTTAGTGATTCAGTGTTATTTTTTACATAAACAAGTTTTGCTACATTAATGTTTGAGCTGAATTAAATATAACTAAGTTAACAACTTTAGTAGTCCTTGACTTAAAATCGTAATGGAGCCTGACTATTATGGTTATAAGTCATGACAGCTGTAAAGTGGCTCACCATGTGACTGATCTGATTTTACAACCTTTTTTGTAACAATTGTTAAGCCAATCACCATGGTCATTTAGGGAATCCATGGTATTAATTGAACACCACAGTTGTTAAGTGACCCCATTGTTCACTACGGGGCTTAATGCTGAACATTGCTGAAAATTGGAAGTAAATGCCAGGTTTTAGCAAAAAGGTAGTAAATCACAGTCCCGTGATCATGGACACTGCAAACAGCCATATATGAAGGTTAATTGCCGAGCACCTGAAATGTGATCGCTTTGGAACCAAGTCATAAGTATTTTTTTGAGGGGGGGAGGAAATCCACTGTAACTCCGAATGGTCACTAAGCCACTGGTCGTAAGTCAAGAACTCTGTTTAAGATATTTGTTGCTGTATTTGTACCCTGCCTCATTTCCCTAAAAGTAAAGATAAATTTTTAATAGTAAATATTCAGGACCACAATACATAAAATAACTATAATAATCTAAAAGACAATAATGCAGTTAGAAATTTTCAAAGGGTCAAAGGTTAGGAATTTGTAATGAAATTCATGTTTTTAAACTCTGAAAAACTGCACAGATAACTGAAAGGGAGCAAATTTGAAACAATGTTCCAGACAAAGACCATCTGGAGCTTTTTAATATGTGGAGAACTTGTGGAATAAAGAATTTGCATTTGGTGAGTTCCTAAGGTCTGAGCCATCCCAAGCCCTGGCATGTTTGCGCTGTACTGCAGTGGCATCTCATACCCCCTCCTGCAGTTGGCAGCAGCCACTTACCTGCCTGTCAGTCTGCTTGTGAGCCAACTGTAATTTTCTGCTGGCTTCCCCACTGATTTACTTGTTGGAAGCTGGCAGGAAGTTGTGATAAGGTCCTCAATGAGGGCAGTGGGAAGTATGAGGAGTGCTATCGCATTACTTCATGCTTTACAACTGCCTCGTTAGCAACCAAAATCCCGATTTCTGCCATTAATTGAGGACCACATGTATGTTTATTGTAACCTTTGAACCAATCTGTAACAAAAGTAGAACTATAGATTGGGAATGACAGAGCATATTAAGCATCTTTACTAACTTTAGTTTCTATGGCCTGCTTAAGATGAGTAAGTTTATGTGATTAATCATACTCATTAATTAACATTCTACATACAAACATTGTGCCAATAAGAAGTTGCTAAAACAAGCCTGCCAAATAAACAAACTTGGTCAACCATGGAATATTCACTATGCTTGCTTTTATCAATTTCTCTGCTTTAGATACAACTTATTAGATTTTGCTTTTTGTTGTGGCATACATTTTTAATTTACAATTTAAATTTAAAACAGGATGATTCCTTCAGTGTTTCCTAATTCTAGATTTATAAGTGGCTGAATAATTATTGTAACAAAAAATAGAAATGAGTAAATGCCCTTAAGCTATTAATCATCACTTTTTAGAAGAGGCCAGTAATATCTTCTGGTATTTCCTGTATCGTGCTGTTTTGTCACCTTAGAACGAGAACATTAAGATTCAGTTGGGGAATGATAGAACAAGGGGTCTTAACAATTTTACTGCTAAACATTAGGTCATGCAAAATTATACTGATTTTTCACTTCAGTTAAAAGATAAAATAATAATAATAATAATAATAATAATAATAATAATAATAATAATAATAATAATAATAATAATAATTATTATTATTATTATTATTATTATTATTATTTATCCTAGCTCTTCCTTTGACAAAAAAGCAATTGGGATTTGTTTGGATGCTTCAGCAAACAAGAGGCTAGGAAATAAAAGCCTTAGAAATTCTAGACTTTCAGGATTTCTAAAGGAAAGGAAACTCTCATTACTGTAAACCCAAAACCATCATAATACTGGATATTATACTCAAAAACAGATTTCATCAATACAGGAACTATTACTTGTCCTAATTTGGAAATTAATTTTGTTGCAGCTAAACTGAATTTGTTTCCTGGATCTATTCATGCCAATGGTAGTATGTTGAATTACTCCCTGGCTTGGTTTATAAGAACATCCAAACAATTTGCCTTGCAAATGATATTAAGCCTCAGGAAAAATATGCTATCAATGGTGCTATGGTATTACAGATCTGGTATTACAGATCCAGGGTATTTATTGATAATTCTTAATGTTGCCAATATAATTGCAATGAATTCTAGATGACAATAATTTAGTAAAAGGTATAATTTCAGGATACACAGTAGCACTGAAGAATGAACTATGCATCCCATGTGTATAAGAAAATACTTCACTGAATGTAATACATTTGTCACTTCAAATGGTACTGCAGTGGAAACTTTGTTTTCCAAGTATCTGGTCTTCAATAATTCGTTCAATAATACGTTTTCAGTAAAAACACAATATTTGTTCAATTCTCTTTGTGTTTTTGGGCTATTATTGCTTGCTCAATTTATTGCATTATCATCACCATGAAAATAATGAACAAGCATCACATGCAGTGACTTCTTTATAAAATTAAATACTGCATTACTTTTTTTTAAAAAAATAAAGGATTATATAATAAATCAAACAGTATTTACATAAAGATCATATTTTCAACTATTTTAACTTCATATAACCGCTTTGGGAAAGATGGAAAAACTGATACCAAGAACCAAGTTGTTACTTCGAGTAATGCAATTCCTTAAATTACTGTTCATTACTATAACTTTTAATTTCTGATTTATTGAACTCATTTTGGAGGAAAGGAGATGAACTCAATATAGACAATGAAGAAACATACTGATAGTTATAAAAATGAAGACTGATATTATTAACAAATTGCAGGTAAATTATATTCTAAAACACACTACCAGCTACATAATTTGTTAAAAGTCAAAAAACAACTACAAGTAATCATATCATTTGTCCAATCATTTTAGAAAAAAATGCATAACAATAAAAAACCAACCTACCTAATTGTTGAAATAAAAGACCCACACTAGTTCCTGTAACTGGAAGGCTATCATGTAAAGGAGTTTGTATCAGTTGCCTGTCTCCTGCTCCTAAGGAAAACAGTTTCTGTAGAAAGAAGTGTTAAGATGCTTATTGCAAACTATAAAGTAGGTTAAATGATTATCCTGACCAAAGGAAGTCATATCACTAATTTATATGCTATCAACAAAACAACACAGATGTGCACATTTGATCACCCAAATTGAACTCAACTTGATATTACTTTTATTAATTATCTACTTTACAGTGTTATCTTGGCCATACTAACTCAGAAGATATCCCTACTATTTCAATAAAGCTGATTTCTAAGTTGGTATAGGATTGCAACATGAATTATGTAGTGTACACTGACATAATCTTGGGGTCTAGAAACTTGTTAGGAAAAAAAATTCATACCTAAAATGATTTCTGATTATTGTCATAAGAGATTTTCCCTTGTCCCAAACATATGTGACTAATTAAGAGGCTTATTCATTAAAGTGCATCACATAAATCCAAATGGAATACAGGGGTCCCTCATTTCTCATTTAAAGAATGTCAGCACAATCACAAGGTTTTTGCTGATTTTACCATTCTCCAAAGCTAGTCTCAGCTAGCAAGACTCATCCTCAGTCATCTCTTTTCAAAGGTTTCAGTCAAAAAGCTGATCTGTAAGTTTTCAAATTACTAAACTTTACTCTAATGAAAACTTCTTAAGAGAATCCGGGGTATATGTACTGGTATGGTGTGGTCTTTTTTGACTTAAGCATTTCAGGCACACATGCATTTTAATGATTATTTGACATTTGTATTGTTTGATTTATTTTTATTTTTAATTGGATATTCCATAAGAACATGGGACTTTCTGCATAAACATATATTTCAAAAATAGAACACATAGCAGGAACTAAGCAGGGAGACTGACAAAAATTTAGAAATGACAGAGAACAAAACTGATCAAATTATTATCACCAATTTGAATACATATAAAACTAGTTTGCTTTAGATATGTATGGCAACAAAAATGAAACTACTTAGGGGCAAATAGCATATTAATTTCAGTTTTTTCTTCAAGTAATTTGCTGTTCATTCTTCAGACCAATCAGCTAACTCTGACATATTACCGCATTTCCATTTTCCCATAACAAGTTATAAAACCCCTGGTTAATGACTTTGCCATCATGCCCTGTTTTTGTAACTTGCAGTAATGTTTTTGTTTTTGTTTCTACTAACATCCATGGCTGTTTTCAATCTTTAATCCAAATTTACTAGGCATTATTTTTGTTAAAATCTAGTTTCATTATCATCGTATTTCATAAAAATCAGTATTTCCATAGAATACATGAGATCTGAAATAGTAAATTACATCAGAATTTAAAGACTCAGTAAAACCGAGGTGTGGGGAGGGGAGTGGGCTCAATTCCCTCATGGAAAGTAAGGAAAAAATTAAAAGCAATATATTCTGTATCACCACTAATAAAAAAAAAGGCTGAGTGCAAACTTCAGCACTGATATAACACCCTGGAAAGATAATTACAATGATAAATTAACCCTTGACCTTATTTTGGAATGGAATTTTTGCACTCTTTAGAAGTCAGGCCACTAGAACATACCTAATTGAGCTATGTCCCTTTATTAAATCAAACTATTTGAAGAATTCATTTTTCCTTTCTTCATAAATTAAATTAACTGGATAAATAACCTCTTCTCTTCTCCCCCCCCTTTTTACCTGTGACCCTCCAGCAGCAGGAACAAAGCATGAACAGAGATTTGCAATGAGAGTTTCCAATGAGACATTCAGGTTGTCCACATACACAGTGTACACTAAGCCAAGGCAAGCCTAAAATATGAAAGAACAATACATAAAATTGCCACCTTGAGAAAAATAAATATTAATAATGACTGGAAAATACAGCATACTATTAAATATGTAGCATAAAATATGACTATAGAAACATGTTACAGAGAATCATGTGGATATATAAAAAAAATATAAACTACCTATGCACCTATATAAACCACAAACATATTTGAATAAATCCAATCTTGAAACAGATCATGCTCTTTTGCTCAAAAAGTTAAATGATCCACTGAAACAACTTACAGTTGCTGAGCTGTAGTAGCTCAAATGCAGTGCTTTATTTCTACAGGAATTTTTGCCATCATTTAGCTGTTTAATGGGATTCCTTCACCTTTAGGCTACTACTGTGGCAATCTGTCTGCTGCTATTAAAAGTTACATGAAAGGAAGCAAGGCAATCTATATTCTCATTCTGTTTATCTGTGGTAGCCTCAAGGCAGCCCAAATGGTGCACTATATCGCCACAGTTTTGAATCAATGTATCTAACACTGGTTAACCTAAAAAAAAATTATAAAAAGTCCTATGGAATTGAAATTCCCATGATATTCAGACCAGTTTTATTTGCAAAGTTGTGATAGCTGCAGTATTCTGCAGTTGCAGGTTTGTGATTTCTGGTGTTCCTAGGCAGCTTCCCACAAGCAAACTCAATGGGGAACTCAGCAGGTAGCCAGAAGTCACTCGAACTGCCATTATTTTGCCCATCCATAGTCATTCTACTTATCTGTTTAAATAATTAAATATTGACTTATTATTGAAGTTTGTTTGCCACTACAATTATTTTTCTACTTATAATATATACTTTTTTAAAAATGACCATGAGACAGTCTTGCATGGGGATAAAAAAACACACGGTTAGCCTATAATTTAATGTTCATTCTAGTCACATTAGACTGCACAGCCTTCCTCTCAAAGAATGACCCAAAGGGTCCCAAGGCTGTCTAGTTTTAATTATGGTCATAATTGGGAAAAAATCCTAATGATCCAGATATTTGTGATTGTACTGCCTGGGGTAGACAGGATGTTCTGGATGTTCAGATTTCTCCACTGTACAAAGATAGAATATAACTCATAAACATGGGGAACAATCATTTCCTATTATTTGGGAGGAAAAAAATATGTTTTGTTTGCTTTTTCAAATCATGTAGAGGTAGAATTGCATTGTATCCATACAAGGAAATCAGTGTAGAAATTCAAAGTGTTGGACATTGTGAGAGACTCACCTTCTAGTCTAACCATGGCAATCTATTGGATGGTTTTTAACCGGCAGGATGACTTTGAATCAGCTGGGATATATTTATAATATCCCATCTCAAAGTATTATTGTGGGGAGAAAAACTGAGGAAATACTCTGTAAACTAGTTGGAGCTCTTGGAGAAAAGGCAAGACGTATATTTATTTTAAAAAATGTGGATGTTACAAAGGTTAATTCTGATTCTTTGTTATCCATCAGAAATATGCATACATAAAATGTTATTTATAGGTTCTTTACCCTGAATATTTCTGGATAATCCAACCTGGATACCAATACTAGACTTTTGGGAGCAAATACTTCTGCAGGCTGAATCAACCCAGATTCCTGCTCACCTTCAGTTACTCTTGACCCCTTGGAAAAAAAAATCATCGATTAACAGATAGAAGGTGATTGTTGAATAAACAGTATGAAAAAAATTACAAACAGAAATATTACATTTAATAGATTTAAAAACTTTAAATCAATAGAATGTAACAAGTACCTCATATCTAAAAGTCATACCACCCAAATGATGTAATCTGCACAGAATTCAGTGCACTGATAAATAGTATTAAAGTGTGTTACAAAGCAAGGTAAATAATGTGTATTCACACAGGTTACATATCCATCCATTGCACTTTGAAGCTAGCATACCATATAGCACATGACTGTAGTTTTCAATAAAAATGGAATTGATATAGCCAACATGTATTCTAATTATTTTTTTATTCCCTTTATTATATGTTTACTATATGTTTCTCAAAGTGATATATTTGAGATATTCTATTAAAATCTTTTGCTTCTTTCTAGGACTCTTCAACACAACTGCCTTAACCTGCTTGTTCTTTACACTAGATACAACCAGCTGGAAATGAAAGTGGCCTCAAGAATTGCAGTCAGGATTTTAATTCATTCTTTAGCTCTGGCAACAGTGCCAGCTATGTGTCCCATCTAGATTGTGGTTAACATGGCCCCTGATTCATTATCCCCCTATCCACGCCAGCAATGTAAGCAGAGTTTGCTTTCATTTTTATGAGATTTTTTTTTGCTGACTCCTCATGCATAACATCTTCCCTCTTGCAGTACCAGTAAATGAGAAAGTAAGTATCAGTAAATTGGGAAGTAAGGAAACCCCACAGTTTTAACTTATTTTCTGTCATTTTGGCTAGAAGAAGAAATGGGCAGAACCCCTACCAATTTCATCTTGTTAAGAAATGAAAGAAAAAGGAAATAAAATCCAGTCTTTCATCAGTCCAATTGGGAAATTCCCTTCAGAAATGGACAGGCAGGCCAGATCATAAAGGACAGCAACAAGTGACTAGAGTGAAGGGGGTGTTCCTAACACTGTGCACTGTAGCAATTAAGCAAAAGCATTTGGCTGAAACAAAATATGGTGTTTTGATGGGGGGGGGGCAATCCTCACTACATATTAACTCCTAGAGAAGAGGACTGGTCCTGCCACAATAAAAAACAGAGCTACTTTGGAACATAAAACCAGATTATTCATTTATTATTATCCATTTTCACTGTTTCTCCTATTGATCTTTGCTTTTTAAATTCAAAATTTACAACAATAAAAAAAACTGGTAGGGTTGATTAATCCTTCAGAGGAAACAGAAAAGATTTAAAAAATCTAGCCAGGCTTGATCTAAAAACTGAAGTGTAAATTTTGCCTCTGGATAAGAATCGCAGAAGGTACAAATATGATGGGAATCTGACCTGGCAACAGCACATGTAAAAGGCCATCCTTTAACCATACAAGTTAAACATGAACCATTGTGAGATGCAGCTGCTAAATTGCAAATGGTATTTAAGTATATTAACATGAACAAAGAACTCAGATCATAGGAAATAATTGTTCCACACTATTGGTATGGTCAGACCATATTTGGAGTACTATGTCTAGTTCTGAGCATCACAATTTGAAAAAGAGAGTGATAAATTCCAAGTTCAGAGGAGGGCTACCAAAATGGTGAAGGATCCAGAAACTAAATCCTATGACAAATTGTTAAAAGAACTGGATATATTTGACCTACAGAAAAGGTGATTATGGGATAATAATAATGATAAAGTTGGAAGGGATCTCGGAGGTCATCTAGTCCAACCCCCTGCTCAGGCAGGAAACCCTATACCATTTCGGACAAATGGCTGTCCAGTTTCTTCTTAAAAACTTCCAGTGTTGGAGCATTCACCGCTTCTGGAGGCAGGTTGTTCCACTGGTTAATTGTTCTAACTGTCAGGAAGTTTCTCCTTAGTTCTAGGTTGCTTCTCTCCTTGGTTAGTTTCCATCCGTTGCT